ATCTATAGAGATATATATGGTTATATATATATATATATATATATATATATATATATATATATATATATATATATATATATATATAAATTACACATTGTAATTGTCGTATTGTTATTGTGATTTCTTTTTTTATTTTAGCTAAAAATGTTCCGTCTTAATATAATTGTAGAAGACGAAAAGTCTGATTCAGTATGTGAAAAGCACAGATTCCCTTAGAGTTTAATAGCCACATAGGCAATGTTAAATTTCCAAGCTACTTTTGAAAAACTAACCAATGAGATAAGATGGGAAAATATTTTCCAAAATGTTGTCTTTCGTCTCTGCTGGCCAATCAAACACGATGCTACCAGGGGTGTTAAAGCGATTACTTTTGGTGGCGTGTGGAGGTGTAAAGTCCATAAAATCCATACGTTTTATCAGCAGAAGGAAGCATGGAGCGCTTTAACGCTTCCTAGTAGATGGCTGTCCTGACTTCACACTTGACTTGATAAGACACAATAAACGTCAGCAGAAAATGACATGGCAGCAAGTAATCACTTTCTCTGAAACTCTTGAGTGAGCTTTGGTTCACATACATCTCAAGACTGTGTTGCTTACGCACCTCTTACTAATAATTTTTTTCTTCCACTAAACTTTCCATAAGCATGCTTGGACACAGCTAACTGTACAACTTCTGTTGTGACGATAAAGGTAATCTTTTGTCATTTACAAATATTAATTCAGCACTTTTAGCAATTTTTGTAAAGGCCATAGCTTGGTCTGTTACAATACATTTTTATGGATGATAAACTGACGCAGTAATTATCGCAATAAACTCAAATATTTTAGTTTTGAGACCATTTTCATGTGATGCATAATAATGCAAGTTCCCCTCTCAACGGCCAGTAAATAATTCTGTAAAGAAAAAGACACAAACTGGACAGTATTTCAAATATCCAAAATAATAATAAATACAATAATTACAAAGTCTCCAAACAGACTAAAATATTAATCAGAAAGGAAATTATCAAGCTCATTTTATTTTATTGTGCTATTAATTTATTAATTGCGACAGGCTTAGTGAGAGCATAACATTTGTATGTAAAAAAAAAAAATTTTAATGTTACTTTATTAGCTCTAGGATAGGTTTTTAATAGAACCTTAATCTGAACATCCTGATCAATCCCTTTTATTTCTCTGGCATTTTTGTTGTTTAATAATGCAAAGCTGTATTTGCAAGTATGAAATATTTTCCACCCAAATGTGAGCGCATTCTTCTCTGGCTCTACTTTTCCTGAACTAAACTAGAGGGGAAAATAAAAAAGTGTTGTTGTTTTTTTCTTTTATATAAAATTTGAAATCCGATCCGTAAAAATAAACAGAATATTTGTTTACGCGAAAATTAGAACGTTTCCATCGTTTTCGCCTCGCTTTCCGGCATTTCCTTTAACTACAACTTGTCAAACTCCACCTCTCACCGACCGACATACATCAAGATTATGAACTGTAAATTATGCGAGCGAAGCGAGAAGCCAGGGGTACGAAGTGCACCAAGAGGGCCCCTTTTCCTCCTACCTGCTCACCTCGTCCTTTCAGCCATTCATCTCACATTCGTAACACCAGAAGCGGAGTTAGACTCCATTATGCTTTTTATTCCACCGCTCATATAATTTATAGACGCATTTCGGTTGCCTTTGAGTCGGACCCAAGAAGCCGTAATGCCGGGTGGCACAGCGTGATATTCTTATTTATTGTAGGGTTTCACAGCTGCCCCGTTTCGTTAATGTCAAGGTTTTCTAAGCTATGCAGTCGTTTTCCTGCTAAACACAGAGAACAACCTGTACATGGAAGTCGACTCGTTACACGGCGACCCGCCAAGACGCTGCACGAACCGTCCTCGGCGGTGGGTTAGGGAAGCTTGCGTTCGGTTTTGAGTTGCTGGTTCTTTTCTCGTCTCTCCAGGGTGGTGTGTGTGGGCGGAGACGGGATGTTTAGCGAGATCCTGCACGGCCTGGTGACCAGGATCCAGACGGACCACGGCGTGGACCAGAACCAACCGGATGCTGAGCTGGTGCCGTGCTCTCTGCGTATTGGGATTATTCCTGCAGGTGGGCTTTTGGAGTAAATTTTTTTTTTTTTTTTTGTTACTAGCGATTTAATGGTACAAGTGTGAGATCCTGACTTTCACACATTGATGCAGGGACTCCTATGTTTTTCAGAACGACACCATACTGTAGGTTTATTTGTCAGATTGCAAATGCATATTAGTTTTCAAAGCAATGCAAACATATTCTTGTTATAGATTAATGCGTTGATGTTCATTCAAGCAAATAATTGAATATATAAAGATAATTTAAAACAAACTAGAAGTTGGACTTTCTAGGTTGCGTCTTGTTACAAAACAAATTAAACTATCCATTTCCACTGCCTGTTTTAAGTAATAATTTCCAACTTGAAATCAACAGGAATGCCCTCTGAGCTCATATTTCTAATTGACTTATTCTTCTGTTTTTTGTACTTCTTCACAGTAATGTATATAACTTATTTTTTAAAAAGTGGCTTTTAATAAAACGCTTCAATTAAAATCATTTGTTTTGGCAGAGTAAAAGGTCATTCAAAACACAAATAAGTAGTGATTGTAGAAAGCATAAATAATTTTAATTGTGAGACATTCAAGACCTTACGATCCCAGGTTGCTTAGTTACATAAGAGAGTCTCCATGGCAACAGGACAGGGGGGTGTCGCCATGAGCCTAAAAGAGGGTCAATCAGTCCTAAGTGGCATGATTGGGAACATGCTGGGTGACATTTTGAAATTACTGTAAATTTCACTGGGATGAAGACACAATGTGTGAAAACCAGTGTGAGACCATCCTGTGCACAGCTTGGTGCCGGTAGCTGGCTAGTTTCAGAAAATAAACCGGGGGAGACGGCGAAACGATTCGTTTGGATGAAGATGTTTCGGATGGGGTGGTTTGTTTAGCGAACACAGAGGAAATCAATATGGCAGGTGTTTGTTTTCTTCTGACAAATCCTACGCCGATTCTGTGACATTTGAGCATCTCGCCAAAACGTGATGTAGAAAGATGAAATCTCCAAGTAATTGAGATAAACAGAAGATTGTTTTTCTCCGAAGCCGTGGCATTGTAGTTTATTCATGAGGTTCTTATAAATCTTGGGAAAAAATAATTTTGATAATGGATTTTTTGAAGATCTTTAAAGCTCAGAGCAAGGATGATGTACAAAAAGAAAAATCAGGACAACGAGGACTTTACATTAAAGCTGCTGCCTTTTCTAACATTTAGATTTATACTATTTAGAAATTGGGGAGTTACTTTAGACCAAGATTTGCCTTTATACTTTTAATATCGGAGCAAGACCCAGAGAAACTCTTGTTAGTTTATAAATTGTGAATTACTTAGAGCAAGAATCGAACATGGAGAACCAACATTTACCTTTATACTTTAGAAATCTAAAGCAAACTTAGATAATACCGTCTTGTTGTTTTGTTGTATTTCCTTCTAATTTTTATTTGAACCAAGACTGAGATGTTTGAGACTCAGAAGAAAAATCTAATCTGTGATTTAGGGGGGCTGCTGTCTGTTTCAAAGGGTTTCAGTCACAAGTTCAGCCACGAATATATTTATGCTCAGAGGATTCAAACAGCAAAAAAATATCCCAGAACTGAGAAATTTAAAGTCCATCGCTGTCAAAGAGAAAGAAATCGCCAAGATTCATGGGGTACTTATGGGAGAACCGCAGATAAACACTGAAGCTGCTCAGACGAAGCACACGCCTTGTGACATTTTTCTGCCTCCGAATATGCAAACAAATGTCTGCACTCGAGAAAATTAAGGGGAATAAAACATAAAGCATCAGAGGGCTGAACATTGTTCAACTTCTGCGTGCTCAAGCTATTCCCTTCCAAAAGGAAGCTGGCTTGTGCAGACTGGCTATAGAAGATTCAAATTCTGGCACAATGTCACCATTTTTATACAAAAAGAAATAAAGAAAAAAAAAGCACACGCAGCAGGGCTGTCAGGAGCAATTTCAAAGTGTTCAGATGTGATTATGATGCTCAGAGAAGAGGAAGCAAAGGCCAGATAAGTGATATCCATGGAAAGCCTAAGAAGGCGAGGGGAGGGAGCTGATCTTCATACTCATCTGTGTGTCCGTCTCCGAGTGACAGGCCCGATCCCCCCGTCACACCCCTGTGAGCCCACTCTGAACGTTACCAGCTAGGCTTCTCACTCACTTTCTCACCCTCGCAGTCTTTTATCGGCAGCTCCACATTACCACTTGAAGATGATCAAAGTTGGCCAGATAGGTCTGGAATTACTCCACGAGGGCGCAGAAAAAGAGCGATGGAGCCTTATTACCTCTCAAGTCAAGAGATTTAATATCAAACTCAGCATTTCTCACAAGGCGGGGAATGCCTCTTATGCTTCATTTGTTGGCTGAAGACCGCTGATAATAGCCCAGGGCCCGAAACTATCAGATTAGTTAACTTTATGACTGCCACGTTTCTTTGCTCTTGGCTAATAAAATCATTCAGCTACATTTGCCTTTCTTGGTTGTGGACGTTCTGTTGATCCCCAGAGTTTGTTTTTTTTTTCTGTGTGACGGATTTTATTTTGGAGATAGAGCTACACATGTGTGACTGACATGATGAACATTTTTAGGGGGGATTAAAGGCAATGGGGATAAGAGAAAATCAGAAACCTCTCTCACCTCTTGAGAAGGAAAAAAAAACCTAACCCGATATTTATGTATGTTAAGATGACGAACACAGCCATAAGTTAAACGCGTTGTATTCTCAAAGACCAACGCTGTTTGCTACACAGTGTCTTTAGAAAACTGGAAAATTGTGTGTCTTATTCTCCATTTCACTGATATTTTTACAAATGACTTTGGGAATCCATATTTACATTGCCAAAATAATATGTATAACTTGTTTTATATCAAGAATAAAACATTCAAGTTTCCACCAGACAGTGCTAGTGTCTGTAGATTAATGAACACAAACAAAAGCCCAGTCTACATCATCACTGATATTTTGGAAAACAGATTTTTTTTTTTTCTACGAGATAGTGCCTACCCACTACCTCCTTTCAGCAGGTCCGTTTCACTTTGTGCTAGCTCTACTCCCATTAAACTACAAATGTAAGCTCAAGGTGTTGATGATGTTGATATTTAGGAAGGTTTTTTTCCCCTTTGCCAATACTATATCAGGTGCTATTTGATGAGTGAATAAGACATAGCAGATAGCTTTAGCTCAACAGATGGACCAAACACAAAATCTTAAAGCTGTATTACTTCCTCCACAAAATATAGATTGCATATGGAGGTAAAAACAAGCACGGAAATGACAGTATCCTAAATTGGGAAAGGATTTTCACTGGATTTTTAAGATGAAATAAAGCAGGACTAAAACTGCTGTAAAGAGAGCTACATCTATGGAAAACACTGGTTGTTTAATCTGATTCCTCTCCTCTACTAACAACATAACGATGCAGGAGAGCTTTCATAAAACAAGAGGACAAAAATGACCCCCTTCTTTATTCTAGAAATGGCTAAACCAAACTTAATGGCTAAAAAACAAACAAACACAGCTGAAACTGAACTGTGTTGTGTTCATGGTTTTACCTTAAAAAGAATAACCTTCAATGATCTTTGTGGAATAATCACAACAATGAAGACCACAGGAGTGCGTCATCATCATATTGCATGGATTTATCTCAACTGTACAAAATGCAACTCTTGGGCAACATTGTTGTCACTTCCAAGGATTTTTCTCACAGATCATCCCTCTTGTGTGTCCAACAGGGTCGACTGACTGCATCTGCTTTGCTACTCAGGGAACAAACGACCCAGTTACATCTGCCTTGCACATCGTTGTTGGTGAGTTTAAGTTACTGAAACCCTGCCAACACGTGTCCTTTAAACCCAGGCTCAGATACTCCCATATCTGATGGTACCAGTGTTGTGTGGACACAAACAGAACACTTTTGTGCGATCATTGTATTACCTTTCTTTGCCTGTTTTCACAGGCGATTCACAGCCAATGGATGTATGTTCAGTTCACCATAACGGCGTCTTCCTCAAATATTCGGTCTCTTTGCTTGGGTATGGTTTCTACGGCGATGTTTTGACGGACAGTGAGAGGAATAGGTGGCTTGGTCCTGCAAGATACGACCTGTCAGGTATGCCAGTCATTATTTAAACATTTTAGGGGGGGAGGGGGGAGTTGTTGTTTGGCTTGATCTGCCTTCAGCTCACAGTGTCTTGCAGAAGTATTCACATCTTTTTAACTTGGTCACATTTTATGACATTATGCCTGCAAAATAGTGATTTTGGTCTCATCTGAGGCAGACAAATGTTTTCTGCAAATGTAAAGTTCGGTTTTCTTTAGCGTGAAAACCTTTGCTTTTAGTCCCACCTCAAGCTGCAATTAGACGTTGTGACTTTTTTCAACAATGGATTTCTTTTTTTCTACAGTTTAGATGCCCAGTATAAAGTGTTCCCTTTTCTAATGCCTTCACAGTACAATTCTATTTATATTTTCATTTATACTTTAATATGTTCATTTGCTGCATCACACTTTCATCTGTTACGTAACATACCCATAGAGAGTGTTTCCTTTTCTTTTATTTTCTGTTTTCTCCCTCTCCTCTGTAATGCTTTTATGTTTCAAAAACATGCTGGGTTTGGCCATCTGCTTGCCTTAAGTACAGGCTCAATCGTGAATATTCATCACAAATTTCTGTGCTTTTTCTATTTAAATTTTTTTGTTTGTTTGTTTTTAGAACTGCGCATAAATCATGACAGTATAAACAAGCCGTAACGAAATTAATGTCATGAAACTGCAACTGAACTAGATTCATGTTTGAGTCCTTTTCAATATTTTACTTGGTGCCTTAGCTGAGAATATATTTTGTTAAATCAATAACACCATATAACATATTTTCCTCCTCTTTTTTTAAAGGGTTTAAAACCTTTTTGTCCCACAACTACTACGGTGGGACGGTTTCTTTCCTGCCAGCAGACGACAACGTGGGGCATCCGAGAGACAAGCTGCAGTGTCGATCCGGGTAAATAACATCTGCGGCTTTTCAGCACTATTTTACAATGTCTTACCTTATCTGACGACACTCGGGTGCAGCAATGTGCTTTAATGGGATACTTTATGTTGTCAGGAAGCTAAATTATTGAGGACTGAAAGCCAGCTTACTCTTGTGTAAAAAGCTTTCGACTTAAGTGCTTTGGTTTTTGATATTCTGGCAGTAGACATTATTTACATTTGCTGTGGGAAGTGAGATCCATTATTCTAATATGACAAGTTATTTCACCATGAAAAGTCAGATAAATATGCTCAGGAAGGCCTTTTTAGCTGCAGACAAAACAGATACAGTGTGCATAGCTAAAAAAAAAAAAAAAAAGTTTACAACTCTCTGAATACATTTGGGTTTAATGAATCATAAGAGCTCGTTATGGTCTTGAATGTCAGTAACAGCCGATGATTTAATGATTGTAAAACAAGGTTGCGCTGGTGTTTCAGGTGCCGCATCTGTCAGCACAAGCACTCATCAAAAGACGAGCACGACGAGGCGTCGGAGGAGAAGGAAAAGCCGGCTGAAGGTACGAGCTTTGCTTCATTATTTGAAATGTGCTGACTAAATCAGAGGGAAAGGCCTTTTCCTCATTCCTCTGCCTCGTTATCGAGCTCATTTCTCTGTTTTGACACCACTGCCATTAAAAATGAGTTGTAGTTTGAGAATACAGAGGGGCAAAAAAAAAAAACCCAAAAAACGCAAAAAAGATGAGACAATTCCACACTGGCTGTCTTTCTGCATAAAGCCGATTTCATTCAGCTCGGAGATTTGCATTTTTTCGCTTTGTGTTTTTTGAAGGAGATAAAGTACCTGAGCTTGACAGCGTGTAAATAAGAGTCATGATCTGCTAAAATTTCACTTTGTTGTCATTTCTCAGTCGTGGTTTTTTTTTTCTCCCCCCCTACAGAGCGACACAATTTCTAATGAGATTCCTGATTAGGTATTGATGAGAGAATATATTCCGATTATAGTGACAGTGAATAACTCCCCATTGTTCCCTGCTGAGAGCTCTTCTCCCTAATGATCAGGGATGTAACAAGATCTCGTGGCACAAGATGTTGATATTAAAGTACTACGATATTTCTTGTCAAAGTGAAATCTGTCTTGCAAGAAGCTATCCGTCTGCTGTCAGGATGTCATTTCGTCTTATGAAGCTTAAGCCCAGTCGATGGGAATAAGAGCTCATGGAGTGTTAGGAATTGAGAAAGAGGACAGTCCCAGGAACAAATTGCCCCCTCTCCTCTGTGTCCTGCAACTTCGGCATCAAAGACAGCGTTTGGGCAAAATAAAGTGAATTTTTTGAGTTTAGGTTGATGGAGTGTCTGATCGGTGGCTCTACAAGTTGTCTGTTTTTAGGATGAAAAGTAGAGAAGAGAAAGCACACAAACCTGTGGGAAGTTTGTCAAGGTGTAAAAGATCTTTGGGAGAATATGGAAGAAACCCTCACCAGTTTTGAATCAGTTTTCTTTCAGCATTGTGGTAGGAAAAACGGTGACAAAGCAACAGACAAGATGCTAATGCTAATGATTTCAAAGCAGAGTGAGAAAGCGGACACTGTCTATTCATTTGACAGTAACACACACACATTTAACTTTAGTTTTATAATAAAGCTAAAGTTAGCTTTATTGCAAAGCTGACATTATAATAAATACTCAGCTTTATAATAAAGCCAACTTTAGCTTTACAATTACACTAAAGTTAGCTTTGTTATAAAGCTAACTTAAGTTAGCTAACTTAACTTAGCTTTATAACAAAGTTATACATTAGCTTATTATAAAGTCAGCTTCAAAATAACCTAAAGTTAACTTTAGCTTTAAAACAAATCTATAAGCAATGTGAGAACAGTACAACTAGCTAACTGTTAGCTGCAAATGGCATAAATCTGCCATGACTGCCTGGACTATAATATTAAACAAAACCAAAAAATGTGGATTTATCGTCTTCTGAAATACACTGCTGAAGTCTTCTCTTGTTTCGCCCTAAGAAGCCTAAGATCCTGTATTGTCTTGTTACTCCACTATTAATGATGCTCCTGCTCACTAGCATCCCGTCTCATTTGGTCTCATTGTGTGTCCCTGACAGCTCGTGTTCAGGTTAGGTCTGGATATCGCCATTTCTTCTCCCTTCATTTCCCCATCTGTCTATGTGCAAACAAACTTTATTATTATCTGCAATCGTTTCAAGCCACTGACACATCAGCACAAACCTCTGGTGGTGTGTGCACCGCAGCATCATGTGCAGACTCTGTGCTGTCGATTATCTGTATGTGTGTGCGTGTGTGTGTGTGTGTGCGTGTGTGTAGTTTCCCTTTCCAATTAGTGTCTTTATGTTAAATTTTAGATTTGTGTTTATCTGAGGCTGCAGCTCCCCATGGCGTGCTGGTGTGTGTTTATATGCCTGGATAAATATGACAGCAAGCATAACCTGTTTGTGTGTGTTTGCGTTTGCTGTGTGACAGACTCCCACTAATCAGGAGAAGAAGAGAGAGGAAAAAAAGTGTTTCTTTGCCAGCTCTGTCAGGGGGGTTTGCCTCGTGCCGGAGCCACCCTTTGTTTTCGTGATGTTGTGTTTATTTATTTATTTAGTTCTCTGCTGAGGGAATCTCAGACAACTGCTAAATCAATGAGGCACGACACACTCCCCCTCTGCAAATGAGCTGGCCTCCACATCGAAAGTAAATACTCGTTTGGAGACGTTCTCCTAATGCAGATCCTACAGTCCACAGTTGTTCCGTTTGGATTTGTTTTTAAAGTGTGGCTTTAATCACCATTTCCCAATTAGAATATTGTTGGGGGGGTTTTTTATGCTGCCTCTGTGGGCTTGTTATCATTGGCTCGCGTTATCACCTCTGTAAGTTTGTTTTGCAAAACGAGGGGGAAAGGTAATGAATCGTTTTGCTGTCTGAGATCACATAATTTCCCCTCTGAGGTGCTCGTAAAACAGTCGAATGCCAATTTGGACACCTGTGATCAGTTTTTTAGCGGCTTCCCCCGCCGACTATCACGCCGGTGACAGACAGCGCCGATCCCCCGCGGGGCCGTGGCGCCGCGGCTTTGATTCACCTTTACTCAAGTAAACAGTGGCTAATCTCCAAGGAACAGAGTCATGACTCGTGAAGCGCAACCATCGCATCTGTCATTTAGGATTTTTGTGGCCACATGTGCATTTATTCATGACAATCTGAACGAAGGTTAGCACAATCAGCGTGCTGTTTATCGAGCTCGAGCTAGTCTTTAGATATTGTGAAATCCTGCTTGGCTAAACGTAATTGCAAACAGAAGGGTGTGCATTTACATTTGCGTTTTCCTCCATCATGAGGTTGGAGTTGCTCGGAGCATTGCTGCGAAGACATCTGGATCTTAATGAACCTCCATCAGCTTCGCTGCTGCCGCGTTAGAATGTTGGCGCTTAAACCCAGAAACCATAACGCAAAAATAATTCAAAGCCAGAAGAAATCCAGCTTCTTTTTTGCTACCTGTAGTCTATCCGACCTGTACAGCGAAAGGATTTTATTCTGACGGAGAGCTGAGAATTTGGTGCATCTTTGGTTGAATCAAACTTAAACTGTAGAGTGCAAAAAATGGGGAACTGAAGTTAAAGTTGTGGTGATTTAATTTTGAATATGTAGGTAATGGAGCAGTTTCAGTTGGGTTAACGTTTCTGAAAAGATGGTGAAAACTGTAATTTATGGAGGATAGACGGAGAAAGAGTGAATGTGTCCAAAGTTTTTAGTCCAAATTTGTATAAATGAATAAACACAAATCGATATCCAGAAGGTTCATTGGTGACATCTGTGACGACACACAAAACTCAGGACCTAAATACAATTTTTAAAAAAGCAAAAGACTAGAAATAGACTGAACTGAGATAAGAACAGACAAGAGGGGAACCCAGAACCTTAAGACACTGACAGAGATGGAAAAACTCAGAGAATTTCGCTAAAAAAAAAAAAAAAAAAAAAAAAAACAAGCTGGATAGTAGATAACATAGAAATAAGTTGTGTATTTGTGGTCTGCTCATGGTCAAAAACTTACTCCACTACCGCTATAAGATGTTAGCGCACTGGTGATGATTTTTAGAGCCATCCACTCGTTGTACAACCAAAGCAAGAGCTGCCTTCTCAGCAAAACGTCGTGCTGTTGTCTATCCAAGTGATTAGTATGATTAGAAAAGTGTGAAATGAATTAAAAGCGTTTACACTGGAGCCACCATCACTCAATCACACACAAATTCATACACAGATGTGTATATAGTTAGACAACTTGAGGTCATTGCCCAAAGGCCAATCAATGTGTGCTAGGAGTAAGTTGAAATAGAACCAATAATTTCTGTAGTGCTAGGTGTTTTATTACTAGAATAACAAAAATCCTGGCTGGAACAAGTCTTCTCCATAAAGTAGAGCCATAGAGATAATATGAGGAGTTTCATCTTGAAGTAGAGAGATTCTTCACTTTCTCATCAAAAGAAGTTAATTGAAATGGGTTGGGAAGCTAGAATTGCCCATGAGACATTTGAGATTTTGTAGGATCATCCAACTCAGAGGAGACTCCCAGAACACATACACACATCCCGGCCCAGGAACACCTTCAGATCCTCCTTGAGTGAGCTGACAAGTGTCAAGAGACGAGAGATGTCTGGGTTTCCCCCGTGACCCAGTTTAGGATAAGCAAAGATGAAAGCAAAACGAGGGAATTTATTAAAACACCCAGGCAAATAAAGTGCTCATTAAAAAGACACAAAAAACGTCAAAACGCAATTTCCACAAGACTCAAGGTTCATAGGGATAGAACAGTTCACAAGAGCAAGCGTGTCATAACGGAAAACTATGCAATTACCAGACTTCACACCTGAATAAGAACGTCTCATTTTGCTCATTTCCAACTAAATGCCACAAAATGAAAACAAGAAAGATACACATGTTGGATTTCAGCTTATGAATGCCAACAGTCTTCAAAGGTTGAATTAGAGGATGTTATCCACAGCCACGAAATGTCAAAGAGATCTGTTTTTCAAATTGATGAATGTCGTTTTCTCTGAACCTGTCGTAACGACATGGGTTGTGCTGCTGTGCCTCCAGATAGCGACAGAGGCTGGAACGTGATCCACGGCAAGTTCATTGCCATCAACTCAGCCAGCATGAGCTGCGCGTGTCCTCGGAGTCCGAAAGGCCTGTCGCCCTCCGCCCACCTCGCCGACGGCACCACCGACCTGATCCTGGTCAGGAAGTGTTCCCGTCTGGACTTCTTCAGACATCTTCTTCGACACACCAACAACGACGACCAGGTAGCGAGGGCTACACATGCCAAGTGCTTCATATTTAATAAACGTGAATTTAGGGGGAGGAAAGGAGCAAAATGTTTTAGGGTTTTCCAGGAGAATCCGCCCCATTCCCATGTCGGAGCCCAGATGAACTGATGAAGTGTTAAAGTCATGAATGAGCAAGCAGAAGGCAGAGTTTTCCCCTCTTGCTGTGCTAGCACCTACCTTTGCTGACTCTGCTCAATTTCACAAGCATGCTTCTCTTCAGTTCAAGCGCCTTAGCCCTTATCCATTCCCATGTGTCATAAATAACCTCCACCCCGATCCAGAAAGGCTGTGGTCAGGGAATTGCTGCATCAGGGATACGCTGGACGGGCCGATGTCAGACTAACAGCCCTCTCAGGACAGCGTCGCCAGGGGAAGTCTGCTGATTACTAATTATTACCGTAAAACGTTTAATCTATCTGCTCTGCACTGGAAGAAAAGGTCAAACCTTAAACTGTTTATGTTGCTGCCGGTGACATCTTTATCTGTATTTGACCATAACATCGTGCACTTTCAGTTCAGACGACTAGTTTACCTTGAAAATGATTCTCTATGACAACTTCATTCATTTTCTGCTGCCAGACTCAAATATGTTCACAAATTGTCTTCCCACAAAGCTGTCGAACATGTTCACCATAGCAGCAGGTAGTGAGGCTATTGCTGCTTAGAGAAAAGGCTGGTTTGACGTATCTCATGAACCTCAGGTAACATTGGTAATCCATGAACCCAAACTGTTGCTGCAGCAGCAATCTCCTTTTCAGCCAGCTGTTTTACTACTTGGCAACAGTTAAAAGTTAAATTTGAGGTACCAACCTTATATCAGAGTAACATATAGTTCCTGTGGGGTATGTCCATTCACCTTGGCCAATATCCTCTTCCCCAAACGGCAGGCAGTGTGTTGAGAAGGGGATTTTATTGCAGTTAAAATCTGTGTGGCTGTGTTCCAGAGCAGGGCCTCCTCATTTGGTGTCTTGGTTTGTGGTTTGTGCTTCTTGGTGATGAGTTCTGGCTGCTGACCTATAGGGATGTGTCTGGCTGACTGTGGGCTTTGGGTTCCCTTTCCTCCTGATCGCTACTGCAGGATTGTGTCCGTCTGGTTTGTTGGCGAGTGCTTGTGGCGTTCTTCCATTTTTTAAGTTTTTGCTGTTCTGGCTGAGGTGACCTGACCAGGCACGAGCTTTTCCTTGTGCCTCTTTTGCCTTTGGAGGGGCTTCAGCTCATACTTCTTCTCCAACTGGCTCTTCACTGGATCCATGAAGGCATTTCCAGTCACCAGCCAATTTGTTTTTGTTGCTGAATTATTCCTGTCTTGGGTTTGATCAGATTACACACTTACAAAAACTCTCTGTGGTTGTTGTTCTTCTTTTTCTTCTTTGATATTTTTCCCTCTGTTGCTCCTTGCAGCAGCACTAATTTGATGTTTTACCTTTTTTTTTTTCTTTTTCTTTTTAACTCTAATGTGATGCAAACAGGAATGCCGGCATCCTGTGTTTTGTGAAAAATCTTATACATAATAGTTAGCATATAGATTAGATGCTTTCTTCTACATGCTGGCACATCTAAGTATAGCCTTGGCTGCTATCCTGGCAATCAGTTTGCAGTCTTATTTTTCATTTTGTCTCATAAATCCAGCTGTCGAAGCTTTTGGGAATAACAATGATATCGCATTAACTCATCTCATTTTCTAAAGGCTGCAGATTAAAGTGTCTTGGCGTTTGGTTTGCTCCTTCCTTAGTTTGAGGCCGTCTTTGCTGCATAACTCGCATCGCAGAAAGGGAGACAAGCAGTCATACAAGTGGGGTGAGTGGGACATTGTATCAAAGCCGAGTTAATATCAGCATCTGAGTCCAACCAAGCAGAAAGAGACTAGACGTGAGCAGCCACTAAGCGTATTCATGGCCTTGTCAGAAAGCTTTTTAGGCAGACCGTCCGGCATGAATGCAAAGCGGCTGCAGTCATAAAGTGGGCTTGATGTGAAATAAATGGCTGTCAGTCTGCTTTGAGGATGAGAGAGGATAAGAAAAGACGAGAAGGGAGGGAAGAGGGACGGGAAAAGAAGGATGGAACAGAGAGAAAGTGGCACCCCGTGAAGCCGAAGATAGGGCAGCCGAACCTTTCTGCGACAGAAAGAGATGAAAGCGCTTTCTGACAAAATAATTTCTTTTCATCTCTCCTCCTCCTTTTATTCAATTTCCCAAAGTTCACCTAGTCTCCTAATGGACGGCCGCCGTTTCTCCTCTGCGTCCTTTTGCATCAGATGTTTTTTGCCGTTAGCCTCAATGTTTGATGCTTTTATTAGTGAACACAGAGAGAGAGAGAGAGAGCGGAGTCTCTGTTTACACCCACTATTATTAAAAACGGAGCATTTCTATCAGTGTTGTCCTCTCTGTGGTGGTCAGGTCAAGAGCAGATAATTAATGTTGAAACATCAGCAAGCCAGATGTGTGTGTTAGCATTTTAAGGATTTTGGTACAAGCCATTGATAATGCTTAATATTATTAATAATATGTTTACAGCTGGACTAAGTGTTTTTAGCTGTACGTTGTTAGCAGGAGGGCCTCTTTTAGCTCTTTTTTTACTTAAATTTTGCATTTTTAATGCATTGCTAAGCAGTTTGAAAGAAAATAAATAAATAAAAAAAAGACAGTAATAAATGGAATAATGTATAAATGACGGCCCCAGAGTACTTCAAACACAGTGAAAAATGTGAATCTGAACCACTTGTATCACATTTTGAGGTTGTAGAGTTGGAAACAAATGAGAAACAAGTAGGGATGGACGATATCGACAGTAAAATTTAATATTGGACATCGGCCATTCTGTCAGAAGGCATTGATTTTATGTGACAAACCAGTGACAATGATGCCGGGAGCACAGCACAAAGGCAAATTTACAATGTTTGAGTATCGTCATCGTCTTAGAGAGGAAATGTCATGAATAAATTTGACATTAAACAGAACGCAAGCTGAAAGTGTTACAACGTTTTCAGCCTCCTTCTTGGCATTTGCATTTGGCAGCATTTTAATTCCACAGTAGAGAAAGCCATATAGTTTCAGTAAAGCTATATTTTACTGAAACTATATGGTTGTCAGCCAAATGAGTTTTAGTGCATCAGCATATCGGATATCGACCAAAAATCCCTTGAAACAAGCAAGACATCAGATGTGTAATGGTAAGCAGAATAATAAAATAAGAACAACTCACGTGTTTGGAACTGGAATGCAATGGTAGAACTGAATGATGAAAACTCGATGGAGGAGATGGGATAAGTGCCATGGAAACCAGGAGAGTTTAATCAGGGTCATGCAAAACAGCTGATGGAGCACTGAGGGAAGGAGACAATAAAACACAGAATGAACAAACCAAGTAAATTTCCTTTGTGGTATGAAGTTAACAAATGACAAAACTACCTTTTTCTCCATTGGGAATCTATTGAAGATCCATCTTTGCTTGTTCAAGGTCTCAGTTCAATTCACTGCAGACAGTCAGACACAATATTCCAGAGAAACATCTTTCAGTGCAAACATGTTTGAAAGGACGTTTTAAAAAAGAGGAGGGAGTGTTAATCTTGGTACCTGCTGCTACTCAGAATGTGTTGGCATTCAGAACGATCGCTGAGGTTTTGTCCACCGAAAGCCTTCAGCCTTGAGGATGACCACTGAATCAGTTAAAATCTGTGAGGAACTCGTTCTAAGATTAAACGTATCTGTTCAAATCCTTCTCACCCATCTTTACCTTTTTTATTTCCTAGTTTGACCACTGGTTCGTGGAGGTCCACAGGGTGAGAAAGTTTCGCTTCGAGCCATGGCACCCGGACTTGGCTCCTCTGGAAGACGCGAGCGAACATCCAGAGAGTCCAGACCTCAGTCCCATCTCTTCTCTCCAAGAAACCTACGACGACCGCACCGCCGAGAGCAGCTGGAACTGCGACGGGGAAATCCTGCATCACACCGCCATCCAAGTCAGGTGAGACATGGAGTGATAGTGACTTCATATCACAGCCTGCGTTATTTTCACATTTTTACACAATGCGACTGAGAAAACGTGGATGTTCAGAAGCAAATGTTGAAATAAGATCCCTCTTACTGATGGAGGTTTTCAAATCATTCAAAAAAAAAAAAAGTCCCGTTGATGTGCATATTTAAACATTTCTCATTTTCTCACAGAAAGGAAATCTCTGTCAGCATAGAAAAGAACCAACAAATGGCTTTGAATAGAAATCACTTAACAGTGCAGAAGCATTATAATGGAAGAAATATTGAAATACTCTCAGAGCTTATTCTTCCTGCATCACTGCAGTTGGATATTCACACCTTCCTTCTTGGTATCGAGTTGTAAATTTTGCTTAAATTGCCCAAAATGTTTCACGTTTCAAAGCCTAAGCAGAAAAAGATTACGCTCCGTGCCCAACAGCTCTGCATTCACTGAGCTCTGAAACAAAAACCCACAGTTCCAAGTTTTATTTTTCCACTTTTAAGTTTTGGTGGAATATCAGAAGAGCTGCTCAGAGCGTTGCCAGGAGACGTGGTTAACACTTTCTATCATCCCAAGTGAGGGACTTGGAAACGTCCACATCACGGGGAAACTGCTGGGGAGCCGCGTTCCCGCTGAGATCTTGGCTCTCTGTGAGGATTAATTGTGACGATGCCTGGATTTGTGTTTCGTTTCGTCGCCACATCACATCCGCGCAGAGTTTATTGGAAAGAAAACATGGAAAATATAACAGGAAACGGCAAAAGTAACCCTGTCCTGACAATAGAGCGCACCCTTGACCCTGGTTGGCTCACACTGTACAAAACAGAGTCGACATAAATCGCAACACGTGTACAAAGTGCATGTCATTCCCAAATTATGACTCTTTTTTGTTGTCTTTTCTTTTCTGAGCTGCTATCCTGCTGTTTCTTCAACTAGTCAAAGACATGAAAGCAGCTCCTTTCATCTCCTGGACATCAAAATCAATCCAACAAACCAGGCGGGGTGACCAGAGTAAACCCAAAGCGCACATTGCTTTGAGTTTACGTCGACTCGCTTCTTCAAATGATCGGCTCTGCAAAGGGTCCAGCTCCCGTAGAGCAGCATGAGGCGTTTGTTAGATAACAAGCTAAAGATAACATCCTCACTTTTTTAAAAAAAAAAAATGGTGGATCTTGCGGCGTCATCAATGTCCATGACGTGTTTTTTTCCTAAAGAAAGAAAAGAATCAAAATAATTCAACAATATATTTGCTTTCGGTGACCTCCAATCTTCATTTAGGGTTTCGGTTTTGTTTGTGGGTGAACAAATACAAAATAAAACGTACCCTCTCTGTCTGTTCTTAGCAGTCTTTGGCAACAACATAGAATTAGCTCTCCTCTTTATTCTGCTCCTGTCTTCACTTCAGTCCCCCCCCCTCCACCCCCACATAACCCCCAACTATCAGATCTCCTCGCAGCTGGAGTGGATCCACTTGATGCATCATTTATTTCATGCTCCATTGTACTTGTCCAATGATGCATGGCGCTGTAATGTTGCTAATTTAACGGCCCTCCCCGTGTTAAAAGACTACTCCCCTTTAATTAAAGCCGAAGTCCGTCCATTTATTGCCCCTTCCACGCCGCTAATCGTTGCCGGAGTGAGCCAAGCGGAGTGTATTTCGGATAATTAATGGCAATAGACCAGGCGAAATGGGGAAGTAGAAGGAGAGGGAAGAAGGAAGAGGTTCACCTGTGGGGAAAACAAAAAAAAGGGTGAAACATAAAGTGCAATAATGATGAGCCAAACTTTAAATCAAATCTTGGTGTAATTAAAGTGCCAGCAAGCAGCTCTCTTGGACATTTTTGTCTGATTTATTTCTTTCTTTTTTTTATGCTTATGATATTCTGGAAATATGACAATACTGTGAAATATCGTCCCATGTGCCTGGATATTGAGCTGCTAGCACAATCACAGCTAGAGTCGAACGCTAGCTAGTCTGCTAGCATTAGACTCCTCCTGCTAAAGTCTAATGCTAACAGAAGGAGTGGCTTGTAGCCTGTTACCAAAGACAAACCGAAATCCTTCAACCGCCGCTCCATTTTTGTTTACATTTCTTAAAGAAAGAAATTGCGCTCCCGTCTTCTTCGGTGGTATTCGTGTCATTTCTTTCAGTGGCTCTAGGTGCAGCGCCACCACAGGTGAGGGTGGGAACAGGTTTTTCAAAAGGGTTTGGATTGTTTGACACGGTGCAGTGTGAAAGCAGATCGAAACAGGAGAAAATTTGACAAATATTGCAGTTTGTCTATCAGATGTGAAAACTGCCAGGGTTGTGGCAGTCTGTGTGGAGAAGTGTTTTTTTTGTTGTTGTTGTGTGTGTGGCTAGCCTACCACCAAAAAAAAATCTTCGTACATTGAAGATTGTTACTACAATGTAAAAAAAAAAATGCCTACAAGTTGACATTTTATCCAAGTTTATTATAACATTAATAGCATCTGTGCTTATCACACCACAATGACTTCCACTTTTTAAATCTGAGCATTAATCTGCACTGCTTTCACATCTGCCGCTCTGACAGTAATGTCACAGTGAAAGCGCAGCCGTTAAGATTATGGTTTCTTATTCAGGCTAAATGATCCAGAGTGTGTGTGTGTGTGTGTGTCCTACCTTTTCTCCACAGTGTCCAGTGCCAGCTGATCAGGCTGTTTGCTCGGGGAATCGAGGAGCAGCAAGACGCAGAGGTGGCCGTGTGACGACATTTGACCGGCGTTATGTCCTGAAGACACAAAGACTGAAAAGGAACAGGGGGGAAAAAAACAAAGACTTGAAAGTGTTGATTTCCTGGAAAAGCACATACAACATCCACTTTTCATTTGCACAAGCTGCCTTTCGATGATGATTATAGTGTTTGCTTTAATGGGTTTGCGCAGTATTGGGTAGAAAATGACGAGACATGTTGAATTCAAATGGATCGCGTTGCATCGCCGGTTAGTGGGGAACCTCAAAAATCAGGACTAGTCATTACTTTTTGGAGTAAGCTGGGTGAAATATGGTTTCCTGCACCCTATTAGTGCTGCTTTCACATCCAAAAAAAGAAAAAAGACAAAGCTAAAGCTCAGAGCATCCCAAACAGACTGGGAGTTCTTCCAGCAGGATGAAACTGAGCCGGACTCCAAGTAGAACATGAAAAATAAAAATCATCCTGCAACAACGTAGAGACACAGTCAGGGTGGAACAGAAGATGTGTGTGTGAATTCAAAAACACTCATTCAAGCAATCATATCTTTCTTATTTAAGAAAAAAAATAAGTTTTTTCTTTTTTTTTTCTTTTTCATGTGAAAGCCTGTATGAGCCACAGGCACTAATAAAAAGAATTGAATCCCGTGACTTAAACCCTAACAGGACCCTGGTGGCTGCTGGGCGATAAGGAAAAGTGCTTCCTGAATGACTTGGAGTGTCTCGGCGCCGCTGCGCCGCACCTGTGGCTCCTCTCCTTTCCGGCTCAAAGAGCCGCTCGCGGTTTAATCATCACCTGGGAGCCGGTGGATTTCTGCGTCGCTAATGTCATTACAGACAATCTACCCCTCTGCTCCCGAATTAGCCTCTCTTTGCTCTTCCAGAGTCGCGGGTCAAGCGGGTCTTGAACCAGCGGCGGCAGAGTCAGCAGAAAATAAACGCACCAGCTTTTACTTTGGCCCGCTCTTATAGCGATGAAACTTTATGTTGGGCCTACACACAAGTGTTTGAAAATGTGAAATGTGTTTTGCAACATCCCTGCAGGGCTGTGCTGTTATTGATGAGTGGAAAAGTGCAGATGTCATGAGTTAGCTCTTTCCCAATTAAACCCACAACAGCCTTTTTTTTTTTTCCATCAGATGCTTTCTCTCTGAAGCCAAGAGCCATCCAGCACCAGAAGACGCACGCAAACACACAGATATGCCGTTTTATTTATTTTTATATATAAATCTTATATTTTCTTATTTACACACACACTTTTCCTCTCAAATCTGTTTCCTTTGAATCCTCTGGACCTCTTTCTATCGATTCAGGATGTCTGTCGTTGACCTTCAGCTCGCCGGATGATGTTCCATCACAGCATAAATTGGACGGAGAAGACGAGCTAAAATAAATGGAGCCGTTGTTTTATTAAGCAAAACAGAAATCAGACATTTCAGTTCTGTGAAATCTGAAATAGGGTTTTCTTTGCCGTCAAGACTGTGTGTGCCTGCATTCTTCTTTTTAAAGATGAATAGGTTTTATGCAGCAGAAGTTGCGTCCAAAAAGCTGCAAACAAAAAGGTTTGTGGTGAAGTGAACCAGCAGCAATCACGTCTCCTGAAAATATGTATTTTTGTATCTGGGTTCCTGCGTTTTTCCATATTGCCATCATGTGCTGGATAGAATTGGATGGGAACGTTTTTTATATGAAATGGAGATCATTCTGTTGGCCTTGTAGACTACATGGTTTCTAGGATTTGTTCTCAGTAAAAAATAAATCCTCTAGAGGAAATAAATCAACGTATGGAGAAATATTTCACTTCTTACCACTTGTGCATACCAAAGACTTTGTGTTCGAGATAACAGCAGTCCAACATCACTGATCACATTAATTGTTGTTTTTGGCAGAAATGTGAAAACATCTAGCTGAAAAGACAGAAAGAAGAAAGAAGAAAACTGAACTTGCTTACAAAAAAGACAAACATACTGAGGGACCATTAAGCACATTGCCAGGTGTGGGTGTTTGCTCAATATTTCATCTTAAATCATGTACCAAAATCAAATAGTACAATGTTTAAGAAGATTGGTATTCGCTAGCAACAGTCTGGAGATATAGCTTAAAATAGCGAGAATTTAAAAGTCCTCACTCCATCTATAAAAAAAATAAAACACTCCAAATTGCAAATGAGGTGAATATGGAAACTGATTTCATTTGATTCAAATCCTGAATAAAGTGCTTATGAATTGGGTCTGCGGCTGAGCTCGATTTTTATTGCACTGATGCTTTATTCCCTCAATTTTTCTTTTCTTTTTGAGACACACTCTCCAACGTTTGCATACAAAGGTCAACCCTACCGTGCTCGGATTTTCCTCTGCCTCCATCTTTCTCTATTTGTCTTTCTCTCTGGCTGAGAGGGGTTTAATAGGGTGCGCTGGTGTGAACGAGATGTTTCATTAAAGAACATCCGACTGATGATATTTAAAGCTACTCTCAGTCTGTGAAACCACTCCTGCTCTGAGAAGGGGTCGGTAAATTAAGTCATTTAAAATTTTTACAGTCACTACGGGCATTATGGGATTACATCAACTGCATTAAATGTTACCTGTTATGTAGGAACAGTATTGTCTGGGGAAATAGTTTAAAATAGAAACTATTTTACATTCCTCACTCTAGCTATTAAAAACACCACAAATTACAAATGAGGTGAACCCGGAAATTGATTTCATTTGATTCAAATCCTGAATAAAGTGCTTATTCGGGATTTGATGTTTTCATCAAATCATGTTTTTTCCCAAAACCACAAAAAAAGATCGTCATAAAAGCGCACGCAGGGTCAGTGCAACCCAGCTTACAAAGTAAAAAACTCATGGGGTCCAAATGACTCCATCTCTAAAAGGAAACAGAGACTGCAATTCATATACACTGTAAACCAGTAGATGAAAACCAACCTAATTCACTGTTTGTCTTCTCTTTTGCCCAAAACTCACATGATGGATGGAAACAAACAATTTCCATCAAAGTTTCCCTGAAGGTTGGCGCTAAGCTACGCCTTGCTAGCGGCTCTTGAAACGCAGAGCGACTCGCCAAACTTCTAAACTTCACTTCTTCAGCTCTGTCATTTGGCTGCTTCCTTGGTAGTTGGCCAGTTCAGGTTCTCCTCCAGGAGCTCGTCCTCATCTCCATCAAAACTGGAAGGGAGAAGCGGCACGCGGCCATTTTTAAACCGAACTGAAATCCATGCGCTCCAGCATTCGGCGTTCTTGGCAAGAGAAAAACAGAAGAGGCCACCGTTGCCCTTTATGTTCCGTTCATCCGCGAAAGGTTTGAGATGCATTTCCTGCTCGCCCTTCTCCCCCCGTTCTTTTAAACACGTATCAAGAGATCTGTAATCCGAGTGCGAGATTGACAGTCGACAAAGTGTAGCTTTACTTAAAGACAAGAGGGATTTTCTCCTGCAGTAACCAAATTGTTTTCCCTCCTCCTGCCTCCCCCTGCCCTCATTTTCTTGCTTTGCTACTTCCTTATTGATTTATTCTCCATCTGCTTGTTGGCGGCTCGCCGTGAGCTTCTATCTCATTCTCACATACCACCTGAGACACTAGGTGAGTCAAAACGGCGGCAAAACAAAACAAAACAAAAAAAAACAACCTTCACCACAAACACACACACAGAGCAGTTGGCTGTCCTCAATTTGGTGCATTTACCTGAGAAGGGGCACGCTGATGGGAGATGACGGTGCTCTGGCGTCCCCAGGACACACTCATTCACACTCTGTCCGGCTCTCGCCTTCACACACTTGCATCAACATGTCTGTTTTCTCTCCCTACATAAAGATTCACACTTTTATTCAAAGTCACACAAGGTGTTAAAGAAAAACACCTTTGCCGGCGTTGTCTTCCCATATGACCACACGGCGACTCTACGAGAGGATCCGTTGACCTGTTTTTAGACTATTCCTGTTTTTAAACCAGTTCTTCCATGTTTTATTTTTTTATTTTTTCCCAGTTTCTACCGCAAACAAAACAAGACCAATTCCCGGTCCACCGACTCGACTCGTATTGTTCCGTCAAGTGTGAGAGGTGAGAGCAAGAAAAATGTGCTCCGGTGGCAGAGTACGGCCGTATAGATGGTGTTGTGGTATGACACCAATAAGTGCAGGAGACAAATGTAGAAAATCACAGTTTCCTAACAAATACAGAAGAAAAGCAGAAATATGTAGAAGTGTGAGAGAAAGAGGCCGTATGAAAGAGGCGAAAGGGGGAAAAAGAAGTCTTGGGGGTTGGAAGGAAGGATGAAGGGAGCAAATATTGGTGGGGCCGAAGTTTAAAAACAGCAGAGTACCACTGCCCTCTTCTCTCTTTATTGATCAGAGTGAGTTCCCTCTGAGAGATCTGGATCAATGAGCTTATAACAGTCCATCTTCTCAGTCAGAAGCCACCGCCTGGCTGCCATCTCTCACTCGGTGTGGCCCACTAATGCGCTTTCATATGCCTAGTGTCAGACATAAAAGCAGATGCTTTCTGCTAATGTTCTGTCAGAGTTGTACACCAGAAAGTCAACCTCTAAATGGCTCCAAATAATATATGTTTTAGGGTTAGGGTACAGATACCCACCTCTTTACTCCTTTAATAAATCAAAGCATATCAGATTTTCCCCCCCTACTTATATTTGGTCTTTGAGCCTTTTTATGGTTTCAATGATCTCCATCGTTTCGGTTTATGTCAGTTTGTGTTCGTTGTCTTTACTAACAACCATCTCCAGATGGAAACTCCAGACAGAGCTCTTCGTTTTGGTGAACCAAATCAATTTCATTCATTCATTCATTCGGTTCCAACAGAAGATAGGGGGTTTTATAAATTAATTCTAAAAATATGGCTTTGAAACGACTGTAGCTTTAAACCTTCAACGAACAGACGCAATCAGCAGGCTGCTCGTTTTTTGGGGGTGGTTGAATCATCATCAGCATTAATTAAATGACAAGGAACGCACGTTAGCGGTTTCTATGGCCGTGAAGTAAAGCCAACTAATCAAGACACCCTTTTTCCACCGTCACAGCAAACCGTTCATCCCTCATGCTAATTTTGAGGAAAAGCCAACACTCTCAGCGAGAGGCCCTTGAATCAGCATTAATACAGCAATTAGCGAGGCTACACACCCGGCATCTTCTTAATCTTTCAAACTGTAATAATCCTCTCAAAGCAGCGCTGTGATATATAATTTACCCTGCGATCCTTTCATTTCTGAAGAGGAAGGTTTAGCCAAATGTGCCCTCGGGGTGGCAAACCTTTCGCGTGCGGCGCAACGAGTCGTGTTGCTGCCGGTTTCCTGGGCGTTATCTGAGCTTTATTAAAACCGCCACCGTCCTGTTCTGGATGCGACAGCCAGGCAGATTAATGTTGTCTTGGCTTGATGCTAATGCGATTTCATAGCTCGCTCATATCGGCCTCTAAAAAAAAAAAAAAAAAACATGCCATTGTGTTTACAATTAGAGAGGCCTTTCTTTGATGGTGTCATTTACTGGAATTTGCATTTACAAAAGGAAGCAATTCCCCAGATCAACCACAATGAAAGCAATTAAACTAATTTGTGTTTAATTACTTTGAATTTCATAGCTTTGCTGACAAGCGGTACAAATGGGAGAGAAGAAAAGAAAAAAGAAAAAAAAAATCTGAACATACTATAAGAAGGTCACCCCTGAGTGATGAATAATTGCTGCTTTCAGCTTGCGCTGTAATGAAGTAATCACCGTTTGGTACATGGAAAGCATGACGCCTTCTAAAAAGACAAATTCAGAAACAAAAAAAAAAAAAAGTCAGAGAGGGGAAAATGATCAGCTTCTCGAAAACATTTACACCCATTTTCCAACAAAGGCATGACACGAGAGCTGAAAAAGATCACAATGAGAAGAAATAATAAACAAGAAGCTATTGGATATTCCTACCGCATAGTGAATGACTTGTAATGTGCACAAAAAAAATTTATTAATTAATGTAAACAGTATGTTTCTTGTTGCAGCTTCATTACAAATGGGGGTAAAACTTTTGTCAATATTCCGCTAAAGTCTAAAAAATAATCGATGTTTCCATTAAATAAGAAAAGCAATCAAAATCACGTGTTCATGCAGCGAGTCATTACAAAACATGCATCGCCATGATAATCCAATCACTTCCTGCCGTCGTCTTCTTTGTGGTTTCTGGCAGGGCCAACGTTGTTGGTAATTTGACACAAAAACAGTGTCTTCATTGAAGTTTTGCAAAAAAATAAGCCAGTTTTGATATAGTTAAAAAGAAAAAAAAAAGCACTTCAGTGCCAAAATAAATTAAAAAAAAAGACTTTTTCCAAACTGCCATGTTTCCATTGAGCAAATTTATTTTCAAAATGTCACGAAAGAGACGCCGCTAAAGTTTGGAGCTTGTTAATGTCTAAACTTGTCAATGTCAGCAAAGGCTTAACTTGCATCTCTGTCACAGAAAAAAAGAAATGCAGAGCTGGGATGACTTTCAAAAGGAGGTGGTGACGTTTTCCAATGAAGAGACACTAAGCTTATTTGCTTCATCCGGAGAGAGAGAGAGAGAGACAGAGAGAGAGAGAGAGAGAGAAAAAGAAACTTTTCAGAGTTAATGGCAGCAACATCTAATTTGGTGGATTTGGACAAGCAAAAGCTAGTGTATACTCTACAGAAACAAATGGGCTCTCGCTCTCAGAGTCGCAAGAACAAAATGACATCCTTCTGTTACTGCAGCTTGTCCTTGACATCCACTGGCCAAAAGTTATATCTTGTAGAAATGCTTCAGTAGGACGGAACAGAGAGTTCTTGTGCAGTATGAACTGTCCTGGCCAGAAATAACATTTTTTTTTCTTTCTTTTTTTTTTCTTTTGTTCTTGCCAACTGAAATAAAGTCACTAATTTCTGTGTTCTGGCGAAGTATTGGAATATTGTCCTCTGAAGAAGCAGGGAGTGAGGTGATCTTTGCTTGGAAGGAAAAAGGCCAGCAGCAGCGACGACAGTGACCAACAAAAGAGACGTTGTTTACACATAGACGCGCCAGCGGAGCTTTCCATAGCGAGCAAGAAGAGAACGCCAATACCTGACAAGGATCAAGTGTGGAGAAGAGAGACGAACATCAAAGCCGCTTCTGCTGAAGAAAATGTGGAGAGAGAAATAAATCTTGTATAACCTAAAATCACTGTGGAAATTTAAGATGTTCCAGGGGAAGATTTGTTTTGGGCCTCAAGAAAGAAGCAAAA